AATAAAATACCTAAACTCACAATACCATAGGAAGATTTAAGTTAAAATAAGCCTTCAAATAAGTTAACTGTAGCTTTATTCAGATAAAAGACACCTCCATTTTCTTTTCCTCAAAATTCTATTGACTTTTTGATACATTTTCCCTGAGAAACTTTCAGAGGAAGTAATTCCAGAAAAAACAAACACTCTAGTGAGATTACTTAAAAAGATAGGGAAGAAACAAAAGTAGTTCTTTGGTCAAAGTTGAGGTAAGTGTGATTTTATCTTTTTACATAGTATATGTCCTGCACAAAAGCCATGACACATGGAAGACAAGGTGGTGGAATAAATTTTAACTTAAACCACAATCCAATTATAATTAATCTGTGCTAGATAATTTACCAACAGGGCAGCATAAAACTTGCAATTGCTTCCATACAACTAGCAGCTGTATTTATTACTTTTTATGACTTTCCTTCATGCCTCTGTTCTGAGAGTTGTTATCCTGACCTATTTGTCAGGACTGAGAATACAAAAGGTGTCCATTTCCCCTTATTACCATTTCCATTACCATGGAAAAATCCTAATATAATGTTCGGTTATATAGCATTAGAATGATTTAGATACTTTTTAGATTAAGGTTTCCTCCCCTTTGATATCTACAGCTCTCTCTGCAAGACAACTCAGCCCTTCAAGAGCTGTGTTTTCATAGTCTCCAATGTCCCAGATTTCTACTAAATGTAGAATTAGAAGCATATGAAGACCAAAGTTTAACACACAGCTTACAATGAAACAGTAACTCAAGATTTAAATGACCCTTTGAATATTTACAGAAATTTTCCACTTCTTTTCAAGAAGAGTTCCTCATGAGGTATTTGCTTACATCTCCCATCCACCTGATTTTCAAGTTCTTTAAAGACTTAAAATAACTTTGTCACCATATTTCAGCCCCAGCCTGATACTAGATTAACTGCCGAGGAATCTGTCCTTATTTCAGTGCAGTCAAATATTTTGACTACTTTGCTACAGAAAACAATTCAATGGCACAGTGACAACCCAAGATTCCAGCTCATGCATATTAATTGGTTTACTTAACCATCTTCTATAACCCCACGTCAAAATTACATTGAAGAATGGTAGTGGGAAGAAGCGCAATATTAACATTCCTTTATTCAAACACTTCTTTTAAACATCTGAATGAAATGCAGCTGATTCATCAAATCATAAAATTACTGACCACATGACATTAGTTATTTGGTTTTAAACTTGGAAATAAATTTATCCCACTGACTAGGCAATTAGACAAGCACTGAAAGGTGACTGTTCACAGAAGAAATTCTGAAAAAGCATCTTAAGACTATTGTAATCTCTGTCTACAAGACAAAACTGGATTCTTTGGCATATCCGAGTGTTGCGTTTGATGTCAGTTAGACCAGGATTCATCCTGCCTGCCTCCTCTAGTGAGGCTAACATTTGGCATTAAAAAAAAAAAAGATCAAACCAATAACAGTAGTACGCAGAAACTGAGATCATGTGACTCAGAAAAGCACTCTTCCCATGAAACCCCAGTATAAACAGATTTTTTTTTTTCCCCCACTATTTTGACTAGGGTCAGTCTATGAATTATCACACAGCCATCAGAATTCAGTAAAAGAGAAATAGGAATTGGTCCCCAAAAGAGCAAGAAAAAAAACAGCTCAAAAGAAACTGATGAAGGTGCATCTCGGATGGGTTCGACTAGTATTTACCACTAAACAGGTTTGGCTTTGCCATAAAAGCATGGAAGTGGCGCTGTACAGCACACTACTTGAGAATAAGCAGTATTTCCAAAAGGTCTAAACACAAATGAAACAGGAAGAGAAGTCCATGACTTTTCAGTTTTTTGGTACGTCTCGGTACACAGTAAAGACATAACTATTTGTGTTTCTCAGAAGTTATCAGCAGTAGTTTTGCAGCACAGTCAAGGCTGGAAGGTAACTGGCAGCATTCTTTTTCTTTATTTTTACTTTCTAATTCAAGACACAACTCCCCTCTATAAGCTAGTTTCCTCCTGTATAACACACTGTGTGAATAGTGAGCAGAAGCAGTTTTCAATGCACAAAATATTTACTAGACCTTGAGGAGTTAAGATCCAAAGTCCCACACAACTTATCTCAAGCTTCTTTCAAAACACCAACCTGAAAGTGCTGTGTGAAATAATTTCCACTCAAACACTGTACAGTGGAGACGGCTGCTTTATAAGCATTGCTTCAAAAGGGCTTAGTTGCTTTAAAAGAACTGAGGTATTTAAAAGGAATTACAGAAAAGCAAAAAACCCCGAGAAAACACAAAAAAATCTCCCAACACCACACCTAAAAAAGCCCATTCAGTCAATGACAATAGATAATGCTGTTGCTTTTAACACTTTTTTCCCCCCCAGAAACATAGAATTTTTAATTTTTTTTTTTTTTTTTAAATACAGGCATTGCCTCATGAAGAGCTCTGGGGGTGCTTCTCTAGTGTACATTCTCTTGGATGGCTGGTTACCTTAGCTTTGGCACGTGACTTCTTCCTGCTCTGACCAGTGATGTTCACTGGTCTCTTCTCCTTTTCATGGGAAAGAAAAAACATTTACTTAAGGCGGTGATGCCAAACCTACAGCAACTGCATTGAGTTCCTACTAGGTGTACAACCTCCCTGCCACATACAGCCTTTTCAGAGAGAGTGAGGGTACTGATTGAGGCTGTGAGGGTGGGGAGAACAACTTTGTTCTACGGAGAGTTAAACCTGCTCTGCAAGAAAGAGCCACATGGAGGGACTGCACAGCTATGCTCGCCTGCGCACACCAGACATTACCAGCAGCTAAAGTTGAACAGTTTAATGCAAAAAATGGGATTTTAAGAGTTGGATTATTAGTTCCTTTCCCTTATCCAGAAATGGCACACAACTAACACGACAGATAGTACTACTGAGCAACCTGGGCAAAAATGGATGATGTCTGAATTCCCAACCGTTCATGTGAGGCAATGGTTTGTACAGTTTAGGAGCAACAGTGAGAAAGAAAATATTTGGTACCGTTATTGACCACATAAACAGAGCAAGTGATCATCATCATAATTTCCCTTATCTATCACATCTAATAAAAAATACGCCTGTTTAGGGAGTGGTATCATCAGTAGAACTTAAAAGAATTTTCTAGGAAAAAATATTAAAACAATGTTCTTAAAGCCATTTTTATTAAGTATTATTGATGTGCTGAGGATTCTCAATATCAAAAATTATTCAGAAATAGATGTCTGAAGTTATGGTTTCTGGATTAATATGCAACGCAGATAAGATGGCCAAACTACAATCATTTCTCATGCATCTAAAGAAAGTTTCAGAATCTCCTCCTCTGTTTCAGAAGAAAAAAAATCCTGAGGTGAGGGAACCACACATTTAAGAACCAACGGAAGGAATTGTCTCTACTGTCAGAAACTCAGCAGTCGCATCTCAGATCCTGCTGTAACTGAACAGCAGTTTACATAAACTAGAAACCCCATACTAAATTCTCCCTCCATCTGAGAAAATTCTTTAAATTACAGTAACGCATCAGTAGTTTTAAGAGCAGCTCTTACCTCCTGAATAGCCCTGGCCCATCTTGCTTTTGCAAAATTTCTTCCATCAGCTTGATCTTCATTTCTCCTGGAGAAAGGGGGCGGGGGGAAGGAAAAAAAAAAAGTACTCAGAACAGCAAAGTATGGAAAAAAAAATTAAAAGAGCTCTGATAAGTCTACGGACAAGCGGATCAAAGTCAGTTAGAACTATCATCCATTTCCTCTGTATTTCCTCTGGATATAGTATCCTCTATATACTAGAAAATATTAGCTCTGTGGAAGTTATTCTTAATATAAAGTTATGAAAACTTATCCTGGTAATTAGCATAAGGGTAACTTTACACTTAGCAGGAAAAGAGCTGATCTGAAGTCGCACACTCTCATCCTCCTACTCAATATGATAAGCTGTTCAGTATGTACTGTTTCAGTGAGTGGATTCACAAGTGGCTTTTCTTTGTCAATATTAAATCCAAACAAACTATGGAAAATAATGGAGGAAAACACTTCATTATGATCTATTTGGCCCTCAACATGGAAGATTTATTTTATTCATCTCTGATGAATGACATGACACCATGAGCTAGATCAATATTTGTTGCAGGGGATGACCAGGTTAAATACAATCATCTAATGTATTTTTCCATTATTTCCATCTATTTTCAACTCCAGCCCACTTTTTCGAAAAGGCAAATAAAAGTAATAATCTAAGAAAATTTGATATTCCTATTTCAAACAGCTTTGTTTCTCTCCTAGGATTTGGATGTTAAAATCAAATATAACAAGTTGAAATTTTTTTTTGTTTTGATAATTATTTATTCATCTTATTTTCATTACCATTGAAGATAAGGGTAGAGAAACATTTCTCTCCCATCTGCTGCCCATTCATTTCCAACTACCTGCCATTCTCTACTTTGGCTATTAATTGATAAAATAAAACAGAATGCTTACAGTGAAGAGTCCCCAGGCCTGACGGTGAATCGACTGTGAAGTTAGAACACAGCATACATATATTTGACTCAGTATACGTGGAAAAATAAGCAGACACTAGACAGTAACTACAGCAAAACACATGGCAGTAGCTCCATATGCTGATTTTCTCTGCTGTAACGAAATATTAAACTGCAGCTCTGAAACAACTCCCATCCATTCAGGCATTCTGAAGCAATTAAGATATGTTCAAGCAGAGGAGACTGGCTCACAGTATCCCCTTTGGATTACAGGGGGTTCCATTATTTCTAAGAGTATACTGGCTTGAAAAGATGCGATCCCTGCCCCTTATATTATTAACAGGGTATAAAAGAGCATTGGTAAAGGAATATATTTCCAGATTATAGTGGTTCATAAATCAGGATTATAAGGTCTTTGACATCAAATGGTAGGAGGAGAGAAGAAAAAAAACCCAACAACAAAAAAACAAACCACCAAGAGAGGGGAAAAAGAAAAAGGAAACCTTTGCATTTCCTCAGTAAAGGCGTATCCGTGTGAGACACAGAGGTAGCACCATCACCAAGTCTTTGCCAACTGCACTAAAGGAGTTACTGAGAAGACATCCAGGAACCATTTATACCTCTCAAGGCCTGGAATAAAGCTCTACAAGGAAAAAAGGGGGGGAGGGGGGGGAAACCAACAAACAACCAAGTAAACCAAACCCACCCCCAAAACCACATCCCCCACAAAAAAGCCACCACAACAAAAACTTACATTTGATCAGATAAGCATCATTAACACAACTTTAACAAATCTTTGAAATAAGAATCTGTTATGCAATTGCTTGCCCCCACACAAAAGTTGTATAGTTACACAGGCCAATTATAAGGAGGTTTCATTATTCAGCTATTTCACCACACCTGTGAAGAATGTTAATTCAAGCTGAAAAATGCTAATTCAGTTCATGGCTGTTAACCACAGGTTAAAATAATTAGCATAGACTCTACCACCCTTGCAAGAATCTAAGTAATTCAAAAGATACTGCCTTGTACAATAACAGTTAGGTAGCAAAATAAAAGTATACAGTAAAATTCTATAAGTACAATCTACAGAAGACAATAGCAGCCTGTCTACAAAGTAAAATTGCAGAGTATTTATATTACACCTTCACTGATATCCCTAGGTTCACACATTACTACTAAATTATCTTGGACTTTTGGAATAGTGCTCTTTTATTTGAGGAGAAAAATGTTCTCTCTGATATGCACAGCTGAGTGCACATGATGCAAACGAAGAATGAAGAGGCTTGTCTTCCCCTGCCCTCATCACTAAGGCTACATGTTTGCAGGTTCAGCCTTTTTTCTTTTCGCATCTATTCACTTTTTTTTATTGTAAGTTAAATCAGCCAAGCAGTACTAGTAATTAGTCCACCCCATCCTGCAGCTGTTAACTAGACTGGAAATACTAGGTAATAATTAACCTTCGGAATTATTAGGGTAATTAACCTCAAGGTCAGATAGAGAGTTGGTTGTCAATGTCGATTCGGAAGGAACAGAAAAACAGCTTTCTCTGCCTTAACTGAAAGTAGGGTGAAGAGCATTCTTAAGTTTTGAGGGATAACGTACACAGGCAGACAAAAACATTTAACTGGTTTGGAACACTTTTAGAAAGTCATTGGTCTGTGATCAGGCTGCTGAGCAGTGCAGACAAGTAAGGCAGTTCAATACACTTCTCCTTATTAGGATACACTTCTTAGGCCACATAAAAACTCAGCATAGACAGACACAGTAGGAGCAGCTTTTTACCTGTCCACTTCCTGCTGACATGGAGATTGGTCCATTTTAGACAACAAATGATTGATAAATTTCTATTCAGATCTGTTAAAACTAATTAGTTACCTGCCAGAAAACAGTTTCCCAATACTGAATAAGGCCTCCAGACAACAAGCAGTTTACAGGAATTCCGAGTAGCGAAGACCACCAGATACCGCCGGGAATGATCCGTACTGCTAACTGAACTATGTACAAAGAACGTATTTTGTTCCAGGCCAATACATTGCTATAACTTTTTGAAACAAAGAACATAAGCAATAACAGCAGATTAGGAGAACTTCAAACAAGCATTAAGTCAGAAAATAAGGGAATCATAGCTGATAATTAGAAGAGCATTAATTCCCAGTGGTAGAACAACCAAAAATCTTGGAAACAAACGAGACAAATGCCTTAAGTATGCCCGAAAATCATACCGATTCATTGTTCCTACAACATAATGCCCAACTGTGGTCTCTGAACCAGTGCAGTTCACAAGGACAATGAGAAGGGGAAAACCAGAAGAGAAGCCTCATAATGAGAGGTCGAGCAATATTCAGATATGATGAGTTCAGCAAGCAGCCTAAGTCAAAGTTTTGATGCACTGTGCATCAAACTTAGCAGGCCTCCACATCTCCTAGCCATAACGATCAAAATAACCAATCCTGTTGCAATCAATTTACCAACAGAAGACAGTTACGTGCAAAGGAATGCACAGGCTAGATAAACATGAGGGCCGTTCAGTCTGGTTTATCAAAAGCTAAGGATTTTTAATAGAAAACGAAAAGTTACACTGACACTTTTATTTAAGTTTTCCCCTCTGAATTATGTTGCCCAAATACATTAAAATTGGTCTTGTATTTCAATGACAATTTGCATTTTCACGGCACTTCTTGCAAAATTAAATCTCACTACAGACTTCATTATAAAGCAGTTAATTATATAGTAGTTGCAGTGTGGCCACATGCAGACAAATAATGACATCCTCTGAATGCTTATTTGTTTGCAATAGGCAGTCCTGAACACCTGCATTGATTTCCAACTATTCATCATTAATGTTGATTTTGTCAGCTTTGAATATAACTGGAACAAACTATGGAAGAAAAATTGAAATAATTACACTCACGTATTATGACGGTTTTTAATCAGCAATTTCCACTCCCCACTAGCAACAGTCACGCTGGACCTAACACCTTGTGCTTAAATCAATCTCTAATGGACAGATCAAGCAGAGTTGTACTTGCGTAGTGTACTACCACAAAACTGATTTTTTTTTGTTTTGTTTTTAAAGAATAAGTAAAGATGAAGAACAGCTTCTGTGTTCTTTAAAATACCAAAAAGAGTACTTTCAAGTACTACGCTTCTAATGCTGTAACTTCTGAAACATACACAATTTAACATGCATTGGAGGTATATGATAAGTTCGTAAGATACTTGAAACTTTTAGGGGAGGATTTACACATCTGTTACTCATTTAGACTGCAGCAGCACAAGTTCTTTGGGAATATCTAACTGTGGGTGCAGTGAAGCACTAGATGCAGAAGCTCCTGCTACAGCCTTGTACATCAGGCCAAAGTGACATAAGTAACATTACATACATCTGGGCTACAATAAACTTGTCCTTGTTATAGCACCTGCCAGGAGATTATCTGAAGCTGACTGCACCAAAATAGCTTCCAGCTGAAAACAAGGTGCTTTGCATCGCTAGCTTTCAAGTGAACTCATGCACTTAAGTAGAAGGGAACACTATTCTTACTGGAAAGTATATCTGGGATGTGGAACTATAAAAATGGTATCCCATGAAGGATTATTGTACTATAAAGCTATAATTCAGTTTTAACTCATTTTATAGGCCTCAATTATACAGTACAGATAAAAGAATCAGTATAACATTAAAAAGCTGTGCAATAAGTAGCAGTTTAGTAAAACACTAGGAAGACCTGTAGGCAGTACATGTCCACCTTGGCTATAATCACGTTAACGGGAAGTGAATGACTTAATAAAATTGCAAAGGAGAATTAAGTGAGCTAGGCTTTCCACAGTTAGCTATATTACAGTAAGACTTACTTTTTTAAGCCTCGCATAGATTCATATAATTTAGCATTACCCAACTACCTCATAGAGATTTTTTTGTGTGTCTCAGTGACAACAGAAGGCAGACTTTGCTCCAAGATACTTTTTTTGTACCATTAAATCTGTACCCCTACATAGTTTACCATTTACAGATGCTCAAGTTGCCCTTAAAAATTTAGTTTCCAAACACTAGAGCAGAGAACAAAACTTGCTTATAGGTCAGCAACCAGTTACTCATCTCTACAGTAAAATTTTAGTTTTAAATTTGACTATACTTTTTTCTTTTGCATTTGCTTTCTTATTGTCTACAATCATAAGTTTCAGTAGCTATATTATCATCTTCAATCATATGTTTACATCAGCTATATTACTGCTGCTTTTCACTTTGAATAGTTTACAGTTCTGAGTTCTTAGTGTTTTTTGTCTGTATGATTGTTTGTTTTAAAACTAAAATTGTGAGGCCTTAGTTTCTTCAGGACAAGGTACTAAATTTTATCTTATCAGCTTGTATTTTGAGAGCAACATTATCTACAGTAATGAAATAACATTTTCTGATTTCTTTGAGATCACCTTGTGTACCTGCCTAAAACACATAACACAGCACCAACATCCATCTTCTAACCATTCAGATCCAAGCGTTGAGTAACACATAAACAGAAACTAAAATATGCTTACATATATGCTTTAGTTAAGTCCTTAAGAGTTTTTCTTCCCCCACTCTTTTTCAGGTTACTTACCTAATCATTAAAAACTTAAGTCTTATATAAAAGACATACATCTTCTGACTCACCTCTAGAGAAAATGAATGGAGTTTCAAGGTGTGCATTTATCCCCATAGTGGAACTCATATTTTTTCCAAGTTTGAATATTTCCTCCACTTTTTCCCAAGATTTTCATAGGCATAATTCACATTGATAGCGATCTTCATATTTTCCTGAAGGAAGATGCCTGTTCCTGCTTGCTTTTAGAAATACCCCTGAGCCAAGCCCATTATCTGCACAGCTGCTAAAGATAACCCATCAATAACTGCAGCCTGATTACCCCTCCTCTTCCTGGGCATAATTAACTATTTGTTGCATGGGAAGTACTTTCCTCTCCCTAGTGCGTTTTCACCCTCCAGACTACACATTTATGGGTTGTTGCTGTCTCTGTTAAAGCTGATTCAGGAAGTCA